CGTCGGTCCTTTTCCGACCACCACGCGCCGCCGACTTCACCGATGTAAAAATAGGTGGGCTCTATTTCGTCCGCCTTGAGAGTTCGCATACGTTACTTATCGCCGTCGTCGCCACCCTGTTCCGTCATCCGACATTGCGTGTGTATATGCACACACAAAGATATCGTCCTATATTTACGAAATTGCAGACCCTCGCCTACCCATTTGAGGAATTTACCAAATGTCATTGTGCTGACGAAATGTACATTAACGCATATGAAAATACACAACAATGTAACAATTTATTTTGCAAAATGACGAAAATTTTCTCCCATGAAAATCAGAAGTACTCACAATTATACAAATGTCACCACCCTTTTTACCAGTATCAGAACATTTGATCGACCTTATGTGTTGATATATCACATCCTATAACTATAATTCATTCTTATTTTTTTTTTATTAAATTAATAATTATTCTCATTTCACTCCTTATACATGTATCCTCTAATATTTACTCAAAATAGAAATACATTACATATCCTTAACAAATTCCCACCATTTTCTGCGAAGCTTACGTCAATGAATTCCCTCCATTCTATTCCGCTTTCTATAAATAATCAATAAACACCAAGTCAGAAAGAAGCAAACAGCAGTAACATCATTCGTACACAAAAAAAAAATTAAATTAATAAATAAATAAAGGGTAAAATGATGACCAAGAAGGAAAACAAGCCACACGTGATCGTTTTTGCCTTCCCTTTCGGCTCGCACCCGTCGCCGATGCTCCACCTCATGCAGCGCCTGGCCGCCTCCGCCCCCGCCGTCGATTTCTCCTTCTTCAACACGGCGGAGTCTAATCGTAGGTTTCTTGCAGGCGCAGATCTCGACAAGTACGGCAACGTGAAGACATACGACATCGCCGACGGAGCGCCGGAGGGCCACGTGTTCTCCGGAAACCCCTTAGAGAGGGTCGAGCTTTTCCTCCGGGTGACTCCGGGGAATTTCAGGGGGCGGTTGGAGGAGGCCGTGGCCGAGAGGGGGTCGAGTGCCACCTGCCTCCTCACGGACGCCTTCTTGTCTTTCTCAGCCGATGTAGCCAAGGATTTGGGGATTCCTTGGGTGGCCTTCTGGACGGCAGGGACGGCTGCACTCTCCATGCATTTGCACACCGATTTGATTCGCCACAAATTTGGAGGAAATGGTGAGCCATTCGATTTGAATCGATTTACGTCCCATGCTTTCAACGTTAATCGTTGGATATTTACGGTTATTACTAGCATTTAGATCCACACTAGTTACTTTATACTTATTATAAATGATGTTCAGTTGAGGAGCGGACGCTGGATTTCATCCCGGGCCTATCCACAATACATGCATCGGATCTACCCCCAGAGGTCCTGAACCCGGAGACAGCCTTCTCGCGCCTCCTCCACGCCATGTCCCTTGTCCTCCCCCGCTCGGCCACAGCTGTCGTCCTCAACTCCTTCGATGGTGTCGACCCTGAAGTCGAGCGCCACCTCATCCCCAACCTCTGTAGACTCCTTCACATAGGCCCCTTTCCTCTCCTTCTACCAACCCCACCTCCCAATGCTGCTGACAACGACTGCCTGGCGTGGCTGGCACGCCAAGCGCCCGCCTCGGTTGCCTACATCAGCTTCGGCACCATGCTGACCCCTCCCCCGCCGGAGCTCCTCGCCCTGGCGGAGGCCCTGGAGGAGAGGCGCTTCCCCTACCTCTGGTCCTTCCGGGACGACTCCAAGAGGGAGGTGGTCAGGCCGTTCTTCGAGCGCATGGGCTCCCTGGGGAAGGTCGTGCGGTGGGCCCCACAGCGGGAGGTGCTGGGGCACCCGTCGGTCGGGGCGTTTGTGACGCACTGCGGGTGGAACTCGGTGGTGGAGGCGGTGTCGGGCGGGGTGCCCATGGTGTGCCGCCCCTTCTTCGGAGACCAGATGATAAACCGGCGGCGGGTGGAGGAAGTGTGGCGGATTGGGGTGGGAGTGGAGGGGGGAGTGTTCACGAGGGCGGGCACGTTGAGAGCCCTGGAGGCCGTGCTGTCGGGGGAGATGAGGGATAACATAGGGAGGCTCAAGGAGAAAGGTATGCGTGCCGTGGCTGAGGGAGGAACTTCATCGGAGGATTTCAAGTCCTTGCTGGAGATTATCACTGCCTCTTCTCCTCTTCAAGAGTAGCCCCATCCATGCTTTTAATTTTTATCCAGTCTGGATACATTTTGTTGTGCCCTGGACTCTTTATATTCAAAGTATACATTTTGTTATAAACTCACAGAGAAATAGATTAATTATGAGTTAGTTTTTTCACCGGTAGTCACATTTTAGTCTATTGCTCATACGGACTATGAGATTTGACAAGTTGAGATGTAAAGAAAGCTTTCTTGAACAGAATCCTTGGAAAAACATCCATGAAGCAACACCGAGAAATGGTCCATTGTAAAGGGCGACAAAAACTTAATTCCAAACACAATCTAATTTATGGACTGAAGTAAGTTTTTAAATTTGATACCTTTAGTTCGATAAGATAATCTAATTTATGGATAAAACTAGTGACCAAATGAGAATTTAATAGAGCAATTTGGGTATACAGATTGAGGGTCTCCAAGAATTTGACATAATGCATCCAAGCATTTGTTAATTTAGTTGGCGATGCTACTACAAATAGTCAAATACATGATTTTGTTCATGTCCACTTTCTTGATCAAGCAAACATGCAACCCCCAATACTTTCTTAAAAAAACCTATCCGCGGCTCTTAAGAAAAAAAGCTCAATCTCCCCAAATCTTTTGACACCATCTAATCTAGCGACACCCCTCCTTCTCCTGCTGGTAATCCGACGCTCCTCTTCCCCGGCCATGGCTGGGCCCGAGGTTGGAGGCTTTTTCACCCGCCCCACACGCAGTCGTGCGAGGGCTCTGGTGTGCGGAGGTTCTCGCCTCGCCGCCTCTCTCTCCAACGAAGGTTGGGGCCACCGTCTCGTAGTGTGCGCCGCCAGCTCGGGCCGGTACGTCAGGAGTCTTTTGGTCTTCTGATCGTCAGCTTTGTATCCTTATTTGGAGTCACCTGAACAGTCGCGGGCCGGTTTGGGCGAACCCGTCCGGGTCCTTGGTTGTGGGGTCTTCCAGTGTGGATCGTCGTGCTCTTCTGACGTGACTCCTTCAATGTCGTCTTTCGAGGCGGCTCTCCAGGCGTGAAGGTTGATGGAGTTCAGGTTTGGACTGAGAATCGCCTCCTTGCCGGATCTCTCTAGGCGGTTTGAGTTTGGCCGCAATTTTTGAGTCTAGGGTCCAGATTTGTAGTTCTGTTAGAATTCTATGTTGTGGAGGGTGGCTCGTGTGCCGGGTTGGGTGGTCGTGTGGTTTGCTAGTTAGGTTTTCAAGAGAGGTCTTATTCTATTTTTTTACTAGGTGTGCGTTGTTTTAGTTTTCTTTGTGTTAGTGCAGTTTTGTCTGCTTTTAGTGCAGCTTTGTCTGCTTTTGCTTTGTGTTGTTTGCCTCCTTGATGGAGTTTGTACCCCTTGTTTGTGATAACAAAGGGGTTGGTCCAGTCTTTTGGTTCCAGTGTGTCTTTTGACACTTCGGTTGTACTCGTTTGAGTTTTTAAGTTATTAATATTATTGCCATTTGAAAAAAAAAAAAATAAAAATGCAACCCCACTATATTCGGGGTATCGATATCCCAACACCACATAGGCCGATTAAACGAAGAAAAACTTTGGGTTAGACGAACGAACAAGGTAAAATATAAGGTCTGCAACTTCCCATGAATAAACTCCAAAACGGAACATATAAACCACTCTTCTACGACCAGACGGTAGACCAGATGCATGCCATCGTTCATCAAAACAATAATTTGTTCGAATTCGCATTTTCTCGAAGCAACTTGTCCACATTCAAGATTTCAAATGCCTAGGACAAAGAATCTGAACAAAGAAAAAAAAAACAAAACTATCACTAATACCAATCCCACTTCAATCACTAGGAATTATCTCCTCAAACGTTCAAAATTCGAGTTTCACAAGCACGAGTTCTGGGAGAGTAAGTAAATAGAGTGAGGGAAAAGGCCAAAGGCCAGCATGCCAACACATCACCTTCTACAGCCTAAAAATTTGAGAAGGTTGGTGCAAAATGACAAAGTTCAATAACACATTAGTGTGGACATGTACAAGATAGAGATTCGTCCACAATGTTCAATCCCATTCGCCACGGATAACACTTCCTTTAATTATATATGTACATTCCATCTCAATTGCCACCAAAGTTTCGAGCTAAAGCATAAACATGGAAGAATGGAACCACTCCACTAACTGCATGATCATCATCCAAATAGCCTGCAAGATTCAGTAAGTTAGCATACACGAGGGAACATAAATCTTTGGCTTACTAATTAAAGAAGGCCCCTAATATTCGTTCGTGTATAATTTCCCAATACAAACATCAAGCACGTATATATATGTCAATGGTGGAAGAATTTCAAATGTTGATTTTCTTTAAAAACTGAGGTGTTCTACACAATTAGTTCCCACTAAAGATATATTTATAAATACTCAGGAAGCACGAATCAAACAACTTACAGGGCAATGCACATTGTAGGCCTCCGCAGACTGCATGTAGTAGTTGATCGTAATCCACCGAAACAATAAACTAATATTGTTGGAGTTCATTGATGAAGATGTGATCATAATATTGAATGGTTCTTGTGAAATATATATTTTATATATACTATATGTTATTTATATATATTTACTATGTCATTTATATATATGCTTCTGTTTACGGTCATATACCCTTACATAAGTGAAAACTTACTTCATGTCCATGCAAAATAGCATCATTTGAGATTCATGGCCGCAGCCATATTCCTCAAGCTCTGAGCAATTTCGGAAAATGCGGGCCTTTGGGCTGGGTCGGAGGCCCAACAGTTTTCCATCAGTGACTTCCACTCAGGGTCGCACCATGTCGGGATTTGTGGGCGCAATGTGTTGTTCACAATGCCGCCTACAAATTGGTAAAACTAGTGTGTTTGTCAATGTTGAATGTTAAATTCTAATTTTAGGAGGCTTTTACTTTTTCACCTTCTAGATGATCAGCAAACGAAAACAAGGCACGGGTATCTACAGCCACTCCCAGATTAAAATCTTTTCTCATTTCGTCCAAAATAAGGGCAACTAAACTTCAGGTGACGATTTCCCCGGGAAAAACGTACGTTTTCAGCTTGTTATAAAGAAGGGTAATTACAACAACTACCCCTTAAAGTTGGACTGAATCCAAAAGCTCCTTTTATTTTTTCTAATTAAAAAAATGGAGGGTAGCCATAAGTTAATTACAAACTTTAGGTGATATTTAGTTTTAAAATAAATGTCCTAATTAGCCCAAACCTTAATAGCAATTTTGGAATCAACCCACAGATAGATCACCAGTTTAAGATCAACCAAGGTGCAAGAAAACAAATTGATGAACTCTAGATTTCACAACTTGACGTGACGAGATTTCACACAAACTAGATTCCGCCCCATGTACCAGATTTCAAAAAATACATAAGGGCTTCTTGTACCAGCAACAAAAACGTTATCTAATATTCAATCAACTTATGGTGATAATGATCATTTTACAGCTTGCAAAACAAATAACCAACATGCTTATAATTTATACGGTGCATACCAATTATAGAAGCACCGTGCATATCATTATAAGGCTCATCACCAGTAAGCAACTCCCACATGCATATCCCAAATGAATAAACATCAATCTGCAAAGAATAAAATTGAACTTCCTTTTGAGAGAGAGAGAGAGGGAGG